GAGAGAGGGAGGGAGGGAGGGAGGAAGGAAGGGGCGGTGAGCTCCCGGGGAAAGGGAGCCCCTTGCCCCGACCACGCCCGCCCGGGACACGCCCCGGCCACGCCCCTTCCACCCTGGCCGCGGCCTTCCAAAAGGCCAGGCCCCTCCCCAGCCACGCCCCCTCGCCCCGGCCACGCCCCCTGTCCGGCCGGTCACATCCCCCTCTCACCCCCTCCGACCACGCCCCTTCTGCCCTGGCCTTCCACAGCCAGGCCCCTCCCCGGCCACGCCCCCGCCACGCCCCCCGTTGGAAGCGATAAATAGCCCGAGCCAAGGCTTCCTCTGTCCTGGGGAGCTATGGAGAGCGCGTGCATGGAGCCAGGGTGAGCGCGGGAGGCCGGGGAGAGCGCGGGGGGCCGGGGGGAGCGCGGGGGGCCGGGGAGAGCGCGGGGGGCCGGGGAGAGCGCGGGGGGCCGGGGAGCGCGCGGGGGGCGGGGACGGAGAGAGCGCGGGACGGGAGAACCCAGGCCTGGCGCCATCTCGAGCTCCTTCCAGCCTCCCCTGGGGCCGGTTCCCACCCCGGGGGCTGAGACGGAGGATGGGGTGGAGGGAAGCCCGGGAGAGCCCCTCCAGTGAGCACAGCCAGAGGGGAGCTGCGGCCGAGCACCAGGGCCCGGGTTCAAGACCCGGGGCTGGCAGAGACAGGGAGGGGGAGGAGGGGGGCGGGAGGGGCCGGTGGAATTCACACTCTTAGATCCTTAGTGAATTTTGTGATCACAAAACTGGAACAATCAAAATCTTCCTCCTCTTCCCCCTCCTCCTTCTCTTCCCCCTCCTCCTCCTCCTCTTTCCTCTCCTCCCTCTCCTCCTCCCTCTCCTCCCTCTCCTTCCCTCCCCCTCCTCCTCCCCCCACTTCCCCCCCTCCTCCCCCTCCTTCACGCTCATCCTCATTGTTGAAGCTGTATCTGCTGCACAGTGGCTTACACACACACACACACACGTGTGCCACTCCCGATCTGCTTGGCTTCTTGGTGGGCTCACTGTTGCCTCCTTCTCCTGTGTCTTTCAGCAGGAGAGAGGCTGGGACACAGGCGATGCTGATGATCTCCGTGGGCACCCAGACTTCAGGTGAGCCAGACAGCGGCCAATGCCCTTCCAGAAGGCCCCAGACCTTTCCTGAAACGATCGGGCCTGCTCTCCTCTCTCTCCACCCAAATGCCTTCAGCCCCAAGGCAAAGGGAAGTTCTCACGAGAGCCGTGGTGTGCTTAGATTTTTCTTTCTGCCATTTTTGGGCAGCTCTGTACAGGTAATGTAAAAGGAAAAAAAGCCAAGCACCCGTGGCTCACGCCTGTCATCCCAGCTACTCAGGAGGCTGAGGTCTGAGGATCCTGGTTCAAAGCCAGCCCGGGCAGGAATGTCTGTGAGACTCTGATCTCCAGTGAACCACTCAAAAACCAGAAGTGGAGCTGTGGTTCAAGCAGTAGAGCACCAGCCTTGAGTGAAAAGGCTCAGGGAAGGCTGGGCAGGTGGCTCAGAGCGCTCGCCTAGCATGCATGAAGTCCTGGGTTCGATTCCTCGGCACCACATACACAGAAAAAGCCAGAGGTGGTGCTGTGGCTCAGGTGGTAAAGCACTAGCCTTGAGGAAGAGAAGCTCAGAGACAGTGCCCAGGCCCTGAGTTCAAGATCCAGAACTGACCAAAAAAAAAATTATAGCTTTTGTATATAGATACTCAGTTTTCCCAGTACCGTTTATCCACATGGTATTTATTTTGTATCTTTGACTCTTTTTTTGTCTCTTTGGCCAAGTCCCCTATCTGCATGAGGGTTTGTGAGATTTCTATTTTTCTATGTTACACCAGTGCCATGCTGAAGTAACTTTTTTGTAATTTCTTTGTTTTTCTTTTTCTTGTTTTATGTTGGTCCTGGGTCTTGAACCCTTAAGCCTGGGTGCTGCCCTTGAGCTTTTTCATTCAAGGCTGGTGCTTTACCACGTGAGCCACATCTCCATTTCCAACTTTTTGCTGGTTCATTGGAAATAAGAGTTCCATGGGTTTTCCTGCCTGGGGTGGTTTCAAACTGCGATCCTCCTATCTCAGCCTCCTGAGTGGCTGGGATGACAGGCGTGAGCCACTGGCCCACACTTCAACCAGGTAAACCTTCATGAGAAGACTTTATAATATGTCTTTAAAACAGGATCCGTCTAGACTTTACACCGTGTCTTATCTTCTCAATGAACAAACACTGTGCACTTTTTATCATGCTTAACCATGGGGAAATATTAGTTTGGAATTGAGTGTTGATCTCTGCCCTTTTTTGCCACACTCTACACACACTAGTCATGGCGATGCATTATCTTTTTATAGGAAATAGCATCTCATCCAACTTTTCATTCAAGGTGAGCTTGAGACCCTGGGGAATTCTGAAGATGACCCCAACGAGAACAGAAAGAAGACTCGTGTCCAGAAAATCATCTTGCTTGTCTTCTCTCTGGTGTTTATAGTGACAGTGGGAGTGGCCATACCTTTAATAGGTGAGTTGTAAAACAATGAGATTTGGCAAGCACCCGAGCAGTGGCCCACGCTGATCATCCCAGCTCCTTGGGAGGCTGAGATCTGAGAATCGAGGTTCAAAGTCTGCCTGGCAGGGAAAGTCTGTGAGACTCTGATCTCCAATGAACTGCTCAGAACAATCCAGAGGTGGAGCTGTGGCTCAAGCAGTAGAGTCCCAGCCTTGAGTGTAAAAGCTCAAGAGACAGCACCCAGACCCTGAGTTCAAGCCCCAGGACAGACACCAAAAAAATAAATATATAAATAAACACCTGATTTGATACAGACTGGGGAAAGGGGAAATGTCCGAGGTAGGGATGAATTGTTTTGTACTTTGTCATAAAAACAGGATGTTCCTTTTTAATAAATGTTAATATGAGAAGGATAACAGGGGAGACAATGGTCAAATGCTCAGAACTCATGAACTGGCATGCTGAATCTGCACCCCATCTGCACAGTGCCTTAAAAGATAACAATCCACGAATGAGTAAACAATGCCAGTGCTTAGGTTAGAACAGTCTGTAACACAATCAGCTAAAGACCTAGCCAGAACCAAAACGAAAAATCCCGCACTTGAATGCCGGGCACCGTGAGGCACACCTGTAATCCAACATCCTGCAGGCTGTGGAGCAGGAGAGTGTATTTGAGGCTGGCAAGAACACATAGCGACTTCCAGACCAGCATTTTGAGAAGAAAAACGAAGTCACCCTTGAGAAGAATAGGCGCGTGACCGTTGTCTAGCTGGAACTAATTAGGTGCTGTCATGTTTCTTATTAATAGACATGCAGCCTGAGAAGTGAATTTCGTTACTGATGTGGGGACAGCCTTGAGGGGTCTAAAAGTCCTAGTTGTGTAGAGTGCGCACTCAGACGTGGATTCTGGAGGAGATCCAGGGCCGTAGTAACTGGGATGTCATCTCCCTGAGCACCAGGCCGCTCACGCCTGTAATACCAGCTACTCAGGAGGCTGAGATCTGAGGATGAGGGTTTGAAGCCAGCTCAGGCAGGAAAAGTCTGAGACTCGCCAATGAACCACCAAAAAGCCAGAAGTAGAACTGTGGGTCAAGCGGTAGATTGCCAACCTTGAGTGAAAAGGTTTAGGGACAGTGCCCAAGCCCTGAGCTCAAGCCCCAGAACCAGCACTAAAAGAAAAAAAAAAAGACTCCCAAGGAACCACAGTGCTGCATGCGGTCTGTTACTAGAAGAAATATCATTATGAGGTTCAGGATTCTCTCTCCCTCTGTATCTGTCTCAGATAGATAGACAAATAGAAGGCAGACAAATAGCAATAGATAGATAAATAGGCAGAAAGATAACAGATGTGGAGGGAAACAGAGACAGATGAATGATAGACATCTATATGTTATAGATGATACGTTATCCATAAGCAATGCTCAGCACAGGGTGTGTACTGACAGCTATGTTGTAATGGAAGAGCATGGCCCCGGTGGGTAATTCTGTGCAGCTGACCTATGGAAAGGGGCTGGAATCACAGTGTGTTTCTGTACAGCGCTGAGGGGAGAGACACAACATTGGCATGAGTGTCTGATAGGAAACTGTTGTTTTTCTTCCAACTTAATCATGAAGAAGAGGAGGAGGAGGATTGAGAAGAAGGAAGAAAAAAAAAGAAGACAATTATTTAGGAACTGTCCTTCCTTGGAAAAATAGAAATAAAAGGGTGTAGAGCCTGGGCTGGAGCGGAGAGGGATCTTGTTCAACAGAACGAATCGACCTTTCCAATTGGATAGAGAATATTCAGGACTTTCGGTCTTTGTTTCCGTCCTGTGTAGTGCTAAACGAGAAGTCTCTCACAGTCTCTTTCCTATGCCCGGACAAGTGGATCAGACACCTGGGAGAATGCTTCTACTTCTCTGACAAAACAGCCAGCTGGGAAGAAAGCCAGAGGTTCTGTGTCTCCAAGGGAGCCACCCTCGCGGTCTTCGACAGCCTCCTAACACTGGTAAGTCGTTTTCTTCTTGGTGTCTGTGCTGGGGCTTGAACTCAGAGCCTGAGCGCTGTCCCTGAGCTTTGGTGCTCTAACACTTGAGCCACACCTCCACTTCTGGCTTCTGTTTTGTGTGCTTTCTTGGAGATAGGGGTCTCCCATAGTTTCCTGCCCAGGTTGCCTTCAAACCTAGATCAAACCAAATCTCATCTTCCTCAGTAGCTGGGATTACAGGTGTGAGCCACCAGCACCCGGCTCGTTTGACTTTTCAATTGAGTGGAGATACTTCCGAACAATACGGCTCTGAATGCATGGTGCCGTAATCCCAGCTACTGGGGAGGCTGAGATCTGAGAGGATCGTAATTCAGAACCAGCCTGGGCAGGAATGTCTGTGACACTCTTATCTCTGATTAATCATCAAAAAGCCAGAAGGGAGGCTGTGGCTCAAATAGGAGAGCACAAAAGCTCAGGGACAGAGCCTAGGTTCTGAGTCCAAGCCCCAGGATGGGCACCAAAACAATAAAAAACAGAAAGAGGAGAAAAAAAAACTCCAAAAAGGATTGCAGAAATAGCAGAGGTGATACGTCCCATCCGAGAACTCTCCTGGGAGCGCACGAACACTGAGAGCTTTCCAGGTCTGAGATTCGGTGGAGTGGAACGGAGGGGACCAAGCGCAGCCCAGGACTTGCTGCGTGAATACTCCTTCTGAAAGTGTGGCTATGAATCCATCATTCCAGAACTTCCTCCAGTCGCATGCACATTTTTCTCAGTACTGGATTGGCCTGAGGCGGGAGCCAGGATGCATGTGGCGCTGGGTGGACGGAACTCTACCCCCTGACTGGTAAGTTGTGCTTTACCATTCTCACATCTGAGCCAGGTAAGATCACACCTCCCTCAACCCTGCCCTGTTCTTGGAATCTCTGTGACCAGTACCAAAATGGCCGCAGAGGGAGGATGATGGCGAAAATCATCATCAAATAACTTAATCCATCCTTCATTATGCTGGTCCTAGGTCTTGAACTCAGGGGCTGGGCCCTGTCCCTAAGCTTTTGTGTTCAAGGCTGGCGCTCTACCACTTGAGTCACAGCTCCGCTTCTAGCTTTTTGATGGCTCATTGGAGATAAGAGACACATGGATTTTCCTGCCTGGGCTGGCTTTGACCCACGTTCCTAGATCTTAGCCTCCTGAGTAGCTGGGATTATAGGTGCTACCACTGCTCAGCAATTTAATATGTTTAATCTCCCCAAGCATGATGCTCGCTGGTCTTCGTACCATCTGATTTCCAGAGTGCCAAGAGGGCATCGCATTAGTTCCTTACAGACAATACTGATGTGTAGACATCTCGAAAAACACAATAATCTACATCACAGCTGGGCGCCAGTGGCTCACCCTTGTCATCCTAACTACACAGCTTGGTCTGACAGTCACAGGGAAGACCAAGTCTGAAGACTCTTCATCTCCAATTCACCAGCAAAAATGTCGGACTGAAGAGAAGAGGGGAGAAATACAAGAATCCAATGTATAGCCTACAAAATTAAGGGAGGGGAGGGGAGAGGTGGAGGACTTGGATGAATAGCTTTCTTAAATAGCAGCTCCTCTATACAACTGCTTAAAGGTAAGAATAAAAATTGGGCAGGGAAGGTGGCTCAGTGGTAGAACGCTTGCCTAGCATGCATGAAGCCCTGGGTTCAATTCCTCAGTACCACATACACAGAAAAAGTCACAAGTGGGGGGCCGTGGCTCAAGTGGTAGAGCACTAGTCTTGAGCAAAAGAAGCTCAGGAACAGCACCCAGGCCCTGAGTTCAAGCCTCAGGACTGGCAAAAGAAAAAAGAAAGTAAAAATAAGGAAATAGGAAAAAAGCTGGACTGGAGGCATGGTTGGAACAGTAGAGCACCAGCGTGGAACAGAAAAGGGCAAGCGGTCACCTATTTAAAATATCTGGCAGTACACCTAGACTTCCCACCATATACAGAATGTAAGGCAGGTTGGTTCTGGTTTTGTTGTTGTTTATGCAAGCTACATTTTAGAGCAACATCAAAGCCATGCAGATTCACTTGGCTTTCTATTTGTGTTGAGCTGCAAACACTACTGGGAGCCAACAAACCTTTCCCTCTCGCCCCTCCCCACCCACAGACAACATCTAATAAGAGTCAGCGGATCTCCTGGCTCTCTTCTGTTGCAGGCTTAAGGTGACTGGGTTTGGAATATACGCATACCTGCACCGAACTGGAGTGGACCCTGCCCTTTTTCACCACAAAAAATGGATTTGCAGCAAATCAACCTGGGCCCTTCCAAGGAGTAAACCCACTGCAACGGGGGACGGGTGCAGCCTGCATCCTATACAGCCTTGCTCCCCGTGTGGAAAATATATATTAAATTAATATACATTGGTGGGAAATACATGGGAACATAACACGAATATTAACATGTAGGCAAGGGTATGACATTCATACAGAAATGTGTTTGCTGTTGTTTCCCATCAATTCTTGGAATTCAAGATGACTGTCATATACACATGTGTGCATCATACGCATTCTATATGGAATGTATGTAAGCACACAGCGTACGCGGGAGTGTGTGTGTGTACCATATGTCACATGGAAATGAGAATACTGGGTCTTGTTCCCACAGCCATGTTGGCGCCTTGCTGGGTGGAGGTAGCTTTTCACCCCGCTCTGAGAAGCCCAGAGGTGAGACTGGCCATTCTTTGAATTGCAAATGTCCTGCTATTTAGCTCCAGGAAAGCTTTGCTTCCGAGAAGGCTCTTCCTTGATTTTCCTTAAATGGTCTGATCTGCTTGTATTTCCCTATTTAGTTTTCTTTGCTGGCCCTTGAGTATTTCCCCTCTATGGTCTGCAGTAAAGACTCCCAGTTCCACCTCTCCAGGTGTAGCTTGTCTGTTTCTTGCAACTGAATTCCCATATCATAGGTTATAGATGTGACATATGTGATTGTGTGTGCATGCACACACACATGTCAGTACTGGGGTTTGAACTCAAGGTTCAAACCTGGGTGTTCTCCCTTAAATTTTTTTTAGCTCAAGGCTGGTGCTTCACTACCCGAGCCATAGCTCTACTTCTGGCTTTTTGCTGGTTAACTTGAGATTGTAGTCTCACATCCTTTCCTGCCCAGCCTGGCTTTGATCTTCGACCCTCAGCCCTCTGAGGAGCTAGGCTTTCAAGTGTGAACTACCATGAATGACATAGAAAAACACAATGGCCATGGGCTGGGAAAGTTCCATTTGGAGTAGAAGCCCAGTTATGGTTCTTTACGGGGAAGGAGGAATAAGTGGACTTGGGGCCAGGAGGGCTGGAAGGGGGTGTCTAGGGTCTTTTGGGTAACTGGGTAGGGAGAGCAGAATGCACTGGTTGGGATTACCAGTCAGAAGCCTGCTATACATACAAATAGCAGGTAGCAAAGGCAAGACTGGTAACCCTCTGTCCAGTTAGAAGGTAGACGGGTATGGACAAACATCTATTTCTCTCCATCTCCTGGTTCTGGTTACTTCTGCAAAGGTAAGTGGAAAGTGACTGGCTTTGTCCTGGCCGGTGTCTCTGTGTCCATTGCTGGGATAGCTTGTCCCAGTTGGCATTTACAGTTTGGACTCGAGGCCTGGGCACTGTCCCTGAGCGCTTCTGCTCAAGGTGAGTCATCTGCCACTTAGAGTCCCAATACCACGGGCAGCCTTCGGCTGGATACTTGAAGGTGAGTCTCCAGTCAGGCCTCCAGCCAGGCTCAATGCCAATTAGCTGGGAGATGGAGTTTTCGAGGGATTCTTTGTGGCTAGGATGGCTTTGAACTGTGGCAAAGGAGTCTTTGTTACAAAAGCCCTTTTTTATTTCCAATTAAAGCAACAAGGAGATAGAGTTTACCAATATAGAGTTTACCAATAACTTGTTAACAAGTGACTAACAATTACTTGCCAGAGTTTTTCATTCAACATTTAACTTTTAACAAATGTAAGGGCCTTTTCTTGGGCCTGTTGAACACTCTGGTCTATAAAAGCATTTTCTGGCTGGCAGAGAAACCTAGTGACCCCCAAAATGCCTCCCTGTGTAGGCTTTTCGATGGATCTCAATAGGGACATAATCTCAGCCCTACAAGCTTTTTTTTTAATAGATGAATTTATGTGGGTGGTGCCAGCTCAAAAGCTACTGCCAATTAAGACTTTGAGCAGATACAGGGGGTTGGGGGTTTAAATTACATTTACATTTTACGACCTTAGCTTGTACTGTTCACTATCACAGATGACTGGCAGGTTTTGCCCAGTTAAGACAGACATGAGCATTAGGCATCCTTACAAACTATCTTTCCATGACCTCCTGGCTCTGATCAGTTTTTTTTGGAGGGCCAAGCTCAAGTAACTCAGGATCTGACACCATTTTTGTCATCCAAACAGTTGCTTGTAATTGCCTCTGGATGGTTTAACATTGTTGGGGTCCCCGGGGTGCCTTTTTCCATGCTGGGATAAATGCACCTTTGGCATTTTCCTTGGCCAGTCGCTGGACTTGAGCTCAGGGTTTGAGCGCTGGCCCTCAGCTCTCCAGTCAGGGCTAGCACTTGGCCACTTTGAGCCCCAAAGCAACTTGGCTTTTGAGCACTCTGCTGGCAGATTAGAGATGACAATCTCACAGGGACTTTTCTCTGCCCTGGCTGGCTTCCAGCTGCAGTTCTCAGATCAGCGAGTTTTTACAAACTGAAAGCAGCAAAGATGATCATTGGAAGTAGTTTTATACACATGGTCTTTCCTGGAACTTAGTAAGTTACAGTTGGAAACGGTTAGAAAAAAAAGAACGAACTAGAAGGGCAAACTGGAATGATCCTAATGTATCTTTTCTACTTTGAAATAAACCTGTAGGACTATTTCATTTTTCAAACTTTTTTTGGTCTCAGATTTTCCCAAAGGGGAAAGCCACTTTAACCCCTTTTTGTAACGTTACTATTTGCATTTAAATGCTCTAGGCCGAAGGTTTAAACTGCCCACTTTTTTTGGGGGGTCCAGTTGTGGGGCCTGAACTCTGGGCCTGGGCACTGTCCCTCAGCTCTTCAGCTCAAGGCTAGTGCTCTACCACTTGAGCCACAGCGCCACTTCCGGCTTTTTTCTTTTTGCTTATGTGGTGCTGAGGAATCGAACCCAGGGCCTCAGGCATGCAAGGCAAGCGCTCTACCACTGAGCCACCTTCCCAGCCCCATTTTTTATCTACAGTCTGAGTTACCTTTAGGAAATGAGCAGTTTTGCTTCATGTCCCAAGAATCCAGACTTAACATCTCTTTTTTCTTCTTTTTTTAGAAATACATCCAATTGTAAAACAGATCCTCTGCTCATACACCCCTGATGGTCTAACTTGTGGGGATTCACATTTGTTTTCATTATCCCGCATTGGCAGGCTTTGGGTCAGGTGTGATGGAGCGAGGTCGGCAAGGCCGTGGCATCTAGCGTGTATGGACTGTTGCCCTCCCAATATATCTCTATATTGGTTAAAGACCTTCTTTGGAGGCTGATGCCACTGGTTAGGCAGTTAAGACAATTAGTTCCCTCTTCGCATGGCTGGACACAGGAATGATGTGACCCACGGCCTACACAGTTAACAATCTCATTGGCCTTGGGAAGGAAGCCATCTTTTCTAACTCCTCTCCTGAGGCCTTTTCCAAGTGCTGGTTTTTCCTTGGGCTTCATAGTCGGGTCACACGGTCGAAAGCGATGTAGATGAGATCACAGCCTTCATGGAGAAAGGTTTTTCCTTTCAGTAAGCGGAATACGTGGTAACCCCACATGAAGCAGTCAGATCGCCCAGGTCCCCGGCTTCTCGCTCCCCCTTTCCTGGATGTCCGCGTGGTTCTCGGGCCGAGTCTGATGTCCTCTTGAGGTGGTGGCGCGTGGCCTGGAACTGGGTTCATCGCGGTGGATTTGCTCATCCCGGCTTCCCGGACGCCAGGCTGTCCATCACCTCTGGGCTAGCCACCCCCCTTACCCTGAGAGTTGGGACCCCAGGGGCCTGGACTTGTGCCAGACCCACACAGTTGTTTCTATCCTTGCTGCTCTGTTTCCTAACTGAATTAATTGTATCCACGGGCTCCAAGAGTCGACCCTTCAAAATAATGGCTTCTCCTTTTCCCTGCCTTATTATAAAAGTCCCACCCAAGTCCCAATGCCTAGGGCGGGGGGGCATCTGGGTTCCTTAAAGCCGCTGGAGGATGGCCTGGGGCGGGGGGTGCGGCTCTACAGGGGAGAGGTGTGCCCCCTGGCACACCTGTGGTCTGACAGGCAGCTCGTTGGCACCAGACATGCCATCCAAACACTTTCCAAAAATCATGCTGGAAGCATGGTTCAAGAGATTAACCAGCCAAATGCTAAAAGTGGCCATGTGACTCAAAGTGGTAGGGTGCTAGCCTCAAGCAGAAGTGCTTAGGGACCGTGCCCACACCTTGAGTTCAAAGTCCATGAATGCCAACGGGGATGACTTATCCCAGCAAGGAGCAAACCACAGGATGAGGCCCGGCCTGACAACCAGGAACTGTGGACAGGAGTAAGAGGAGATGATGTGTTTGCCCTCTCAAAATTAACCAGAGCTGGGAAGTCAATGGAAATGTAAACAAGCTTGTCCATCTAATGCCCATAGCTGTCTACCTTCCAACGGAACATTCTTGCCTAGTAACCTGCTATTTGTAGCTATAATGTCTTAGACCCAGGGCTGTTAGCCTTGGCAGCTCCCTGAGTCTTCCATGTCAAAGGGCTGGAGATGTTAGATCCACCTGGGAAGGACCCTGTCTGTACAGGTCCAAGGCTGCCTCATCACTAGATTCATCTTAGCACATCGAGTGCCACCGGCCTAACCAGCCTTCTCACTCCTGAGTCTACCAGACCAGACAAGCCAACTTGGATCCATCTAGTCACCCTGGCATCACAGAAACACCAGGTGATAAGGGTATCAAGGGCAGCAACATCACCAGCCATCCTATCCACCCCAAACAAGTAACATCTACCCCATTGCTTCTTGGGCTGGCCCTGTCAAATCTGATATTGGCAACCCAGAATACCAGTGTGGAGAATCCTCTTTCTCGGAGTCCTTGCAGGACCACGTGCATTATAACGTCTGGTTTCACCTGTTCCAAACTTTTGTCTTCGGCAGGAACTAGACATGCTGAGGCCCTGCCTGCTTCTGGTGTGCCAACCCGAGGCAGCTATAAATACCATCTCTGCTGGCTCCTCTAACCGGGGAAAGCCTTCACATGAAGAATCAGCAGACGCCCTGGTGCGACCCACGCCCCAGGGGATCATGCCAGAGAATAACACGTGCCCAGATGCAAAGTTGCACCCATGACTGTGTGGAACTAAAGAGAGACGATTTCACTTGTGCCAACGATGAACACACCTTACATGCGAAGGGACCTGTTTTCTTACCCAACGGCTGGTGTTTTCCTTGTGAGAGTTATACTCCTAATTATATCCCTGCTTCATAACTCCGGTGCTGCCTGAGCCGCCTAGCTCTTGGAGATCTTCCAGCCTCAACACGTGGTCTAGTGCCGAAGGAGAGCTACACATTGCTCTCACCTTTTTCTTGCTTGGGATACCAGGACTGGTGGTAAGAGCCTATCTATTTGGCATGCATAGTAGCAAAAAGCATTACCTACACCTCCTCTGACATTGCACTGCTATCCTGGACAATCACGCTGCCTTGGTTACTCTTACTCCACCACCCGCGGTGCGAGGAGATTAAAAATGTGCTGATGCACAGTAGCTACGCCATCAAGAAACAAGTCGAACATCTCAGAAAACTTGAGGAAACTAGCCAACAGAATGAAGGGGGAAGGGGCCGATTCCGGCGGCTTACTCCCTGGCTCAGGCCTG